ATCTCTAGCAACTTTGCTAAAACTCACTGATTAATTCTAATAATTTATCTGTAGGTTCTTCTGAAATTTCTATGGAAAGGCTCATGTCATCTATGAATAATGACAGTTTTATATCTGTTCAATAAAAATATAATCGAGTCACGTGTAATTTTAAATTTTCTAGTAGCCACGTTAAAAAGTAAAAAACAGGGGCTGGCCCTGTGGCCAAGTGGTTAAGTCTGTGCGCTCCGCTGCAGGCGGCCCAGTGTTTCGTTGGTTCGAATCCTGGGCACGGACATGGCACTGCTCATCAGGCCACGCTGAGGCAGCGTCCCACATGCCACAACTAGAAGGACCCACAACAAAGAATATACAGCTATGTACTGGGGGACTTTGGGGAGAAAAAGGAAAAAATAAAATCTTTGTTAAAAAAAAAGTAAAAAACAGATCAAATTAATTTTAATAATATATTTTATTTAACTAAATAACCAAAATATTATTTGAGCGTGTAACAATAGATTTTACATCTTTTTTTCATACTGAGTCTTCTAAATTTGGTGTATTTTATATTCACAACACATCTCAATTAAGAGTAGCTGTGTTTCAAGTGCTAAGTAGCCACATGTGGCTAATGGCTACAGTTATGGACAGTGTAGTTCTAGAGGGTGAGACAGCCCTTTTTTTTCTTAAACAAATAAGTGTTGTGTGTATAACTGTTTATGGAGTCACTGAAGAAGCCTCTACTGATTTGATCATATGTAAGTGCCAGGGAGAGATTAGATTTTCAAGGAAGGTTTTACTGAAAAGGTGTCATTTGAATAATATCTCAAACTACGAATATCACTTCACCAGGTGAAAGAAATAGATGAAGAGAATAATGTGTCAAGTTGTTATGTTATGTAAGAGTAGAATATGTTCGGAGATTTGCAGGTATTTCACTGTGTTTGGAGAATAGGGCATTGTGTGCTAGTGGTAGATGGGACTGGCTAGCCGTTCCTCACCACTTCCTGGTGTTATGAGCAATTTATCAGTAGTGATAGTTAACATGTTCCTTAAGATAAATTTCCAGAAGTGTAATTGCTGGGTCTGATAGAATGAATATATCCCCCCATGCATACAGTGAGTCTCACAGGTCTGAACTAATTTACACTGCCCCTAAAAATTTGCTCATTTCAGTGCATATTCAACTGCTTTACTTAGTGTATTTTTAATGTGCTAGCTTTGTTGTATTTGGTTTGTATTTTGTTGATTACTGGTGAGGTTTAATTTTTTTTTTCTTATTAACATTGGTACATTGCTACTATGTAGTTCTCAGACCCCGTTCAGGCTTTACCAGTTGTCCCAGTGGCGTCCTTTACAGCAGAAAGGTCCCGCTCAGAACCAGGCATTGCACCTCCGTCTTCCCTTTTCTTTGGAGGAGCATCACTGACATTTTTGACCTTGACATTTTTGGAGATTTCAGGTTGGTTATTTTGTAGAACATCTCCCAATTTGGTTTTGTCTGTTTCCTCGTGATTAGACTCAAGTTAGGGCTCTCTGGCAGGAACGTCACCTCTCATTGCATCCTGTCAGGTGGTCCAGGACTGTGATTTGTCCGACTGCTAACGCTGTTCACTTTGATCACTTGGTCAAGGTGGTGTCCGCCAGGTTTTACTGCTGCAAAGTTATTTTTTCCTTTTGGAATTAATGTGTATTTTGTGGGGAAGTACTCTGAAACTCTCCCATTCACTATCAAACTTTCCATTTATTCATTATTTATTCATGTCAGTATTGTTTCAAAAATATTTATTTTATTCAAAATAAGAACCATTTATTCAAATTAAGAACGTAACCATTTTACTAGTATTATTTGTTTTGATGCTGAAATTATCTCCACTTTGGTCAGTGGAAGCTTCAGGCTGGGCTTATGTCCTTTTTTTTTTGATGCTTAATTTTATTTTTTTCCAGTTTTATTGAGATATTATTGACATATAACATTATATTGGTTTTAGGTGTACAACATAATGATTTGACGTATGTATATATTGCAAAATGATTACCACAATAAGTTTAGTTAACATCCATCATTTCACATAGTTAAGAATTTTTTTTCTTATGATGAGTACTTTTAAGATCTGCTTTCTTAGCAACTTTCAAATATACAATACAGTGTTGTTAACTGTAGTCCCCATCCTGTACATTACATCCCCAGAATTTATTTATCTTATAACTAGAAGTTTGTACCCTTTGGCCACCTTCATTCTTTTCTGCCAAGCCTCATCCCCACCTCCAGCAACCACCAATCTGTTCTGTTTCTATGAGTTTGGTTTTTTTTAGATTCCACATATAAGTTACTGTCTGGCTTATTTCACTTTGCACAATGCCCTCAAGGTCTGTGCTGCAGATGGCAGGATTTCCCCCTTTTTATGACTGAATAATATTCCATTGTGTATATATAGCACATTTTCTTTATCATTCATTTATTAATAGACACTTAGGTCCTACGTCTCTTTGACATGTCTGTCTCATTCTTTGAGCACTTTTTTGCTCCCTGGCACAGGATATTCCATATTCATCTTGTACTTTTTCTGCCCCAGTGCTGTAATTAGCTAGTTACAATTCTCCAAGGAGTTCTGGTTCCCTTTATTGGAGAATGGTATTAGAAGCCAAGATTTGAGTGCTAGGTCTGTTCATACCCTTGGAGAGTGGACGTGGTCACTGCTCCAAGGCCCGCTCAGTAGACAGATTTACAGAGCTAGGGAGTATGTATGTATGTGCTTATGTATACACACACACATCTCTGACACATTTATGTCTATATTTTAAAAATCCATTAGTTCATCGTACCTCCAGTTTCAATGCACAGGGTTCATTCTAACCTTTTTCCTTTCCTTGTTTGTGTCTCCCTTTTGTACAGAGAGAGCTGGGTCCCAGTGTCCTTAATAAATTTTCTTATTTGATGAATCCTCCTAGATATGACAAATCTCCTATTGCTGCCTCTGAACCCTTCCATGTGGAGATGCCCTCCCCACCCTGCTGAGGCTCTCACTCCTGCCAGTTCTCCTCGCTCAAGATGCCCTCCTCACCTCACTCGAGCTCCAGCATCCAGAGCAAGCTGGCCCTTTGTGTGGGCGTGACCGGGCTGCTCCCAGTTGGCGCTCTGGTGCCCGTGCAGGGTGCCCTCTGTGACTGTGACTGCAGGACTGGTTGCTCAGGAGCGGGGGAGGCCTTCTCTGGAAGTCTTCAGTTTCACTTTAATGTTTCTAGCTAGGGGATTCTTTCTCTTTTTTTGATGTTCTTTGAGCCGTTTAGTTTGAGGTCTTACATTTTCTCTAATTCTGGGAAGTTTACAGAAGTTTATTTCTGCAAATATTTCATCACCCTTACGTATTTTTTTCTCTCCTTCTATGTATGCTATTATGTGGATGTTGATTTCCTTCCCTTCTCTGTTCTGTGTGTCTTGAGTTTTCCTTTGTGTATTTTCTCTCTTTCTCATGTCTTTTGGGAGAGTACTTTAAAAGTACTCTTTTGGAAGACTGATATTTTGGCTTATTAATTTGCTCAGCTGTATCCTTTCTGCTCTTCAATTCATCCACCTATTAGATTTATTTCAATGATTTATGTTCTTCATACCCAGATTTTTATTTGCTTCATTATGGCATTTTCTTCCGGCTTTATTTCTAATATCCTTCCTTATTGAATTTGTTTATTTTAAACTTTTATTTTCTCTTTTTCTCCTGTCAACTCCTCTGCCCTGGGGCTATGAGCCACCTTGGCACATGAGGTACATGAGGCGAGGTGGAGAAAGCTGTAGTCGGGTTTGTGCCTCCCCTGCTGGGTTTAGAGAATCAAGGTGGGGGTTGGATGGGGAGAGGCCTTACGAGGGTCAGTACCATGTGAAACCCCTTCCAAGGCTCAAGGCTTCTCAAGGTCTGTTTCCCTCTGTTAAAAACCCTAGCCCATCATGGAGTGCAGAAAGAGATGGTGGGAAGCGGGACCAAGTGAACATGCAGGGACCACCCAGTGCCTTGCATGCGTGTTGGAAACCACTTCCTCACCGGCTGGCTCCAGTGCCACCCATGTGTTACCCCAGAGCCCCTTGACAGTTCTAGTCTTGCTGACAGTTTTCCTGCCTTGCACCTGCAATTGCCTGTTCAAGACAATGTTGAAGAGAAAAATATTTACCAAAATAACTACAACACACCCTAACTCCCATCTCTGGTATCTGACCCTTGTCTCTTCTGCCTATTTTTTCACCCTACACTGGGACTAAATTTCCCTATGTTGTCCCAGGGATTTCTGTCCATGTGTACACACAAATGAATTTTTTTTGTTTAGTGTAAGTTTATAGTATACTGTATACTGTCCAGCAACTTGCTTTTTTTTAAATGGCTGATTGACATGATTGATTACACATGAAGATAGTTTGGATTCGATAAAATATAGCTTTAAAATATGTGTGTGATTTTTATATCCCTTTTATACTGTGTCCCCATATTATTGCCTTATCATCTTAATGTAATTCTAAGTTAGAGATAGGGTAGAATGCAGTCGTCAGTGTTCTGTGAAGTACTTAACCATTACCTTCTTTGGTTCTTTTAGGTTGTTAGCAATTTTTAAATATTACGATACTGAAATAAATATCTTTATGGATAAAGTGTTTTCCATTTGTAGGATCATTTTCCAGGATGGATTTACAGAGTGGATCAAATAGATAAATAGGTTAAAAAGATCAATGTGTTTGATTCTTAACCACGTAGAGGAGTGCCTGGAACATGATAGGCATTCAAATACCGTCTATTGGATAAGAGAATCTGATAAAAATTTCTTTCCAATTTGGATGTACCAATTTTCAGTCCCACTGACAATGTGAAATTGTCTATTCTCCCATATCATCTTATGTTTAAATTATTTTGATGATTTGATTGTAATCAGAATAATTCCCTATCCATCTTGGAAAAATGCTATCAGATGATATGACTAAGGTCTATTTCTCTTTTTATTTTCACCTACTTGGTAAATGGACACATGTTTTCTTACAGGACTGAATTTGCTCTTAAAGAAATCATGTCCTCTGGAGGTGCTGAAGATGACATCCCACAGGGAGAGAGGAAAACAGTTACAGATTTTTGTTATCTTCTGGATAAATCTAAGCAGCTGTTCAATGGGTTAAGGTTAGTGGACTCTTGATGCCTTAAACTTTTCTCTAGTTCTGTATTTACCCCCTTGGCTGATGTGTGGTAAGTTTCTGAATGTTATGGATAGAATATTATATAAATATCTCTGCTAGAAGCCATCATCCTTTTTTTCTTTGACACAGTTTCTTCATTCTCAGATGAAAAAACAATAGGAAAAGAGGATGACATACTGTTTTACTCAAGTTGGGAAGAGCTATTTTGTTAGATGGTTTTATATATATTACTCCACATTATACCCTATTTACATCTGATTTTACACACTGGGGTATTGAGCACTAGGGAGACTAGGAATGCATGTGCAAGAGAATGTGTGGCCTCGCTCCTGTTGCTTTTTTGTACACTTATGTGCTAGTTTCTTTTATTCTCTCTTTCTTTTTCTTAGGATAAATTATCTGTTGACTAAAGGAATGATGGAGTGTTCTAGACAGTGTTATTTTTACTTTAGTTGTGTGTGTCCTGAGCGAACTGGTAGCAATGCTACATATACTTTTGCCAAAATGTGTCTTTGATTTTGTATTCTTGTGTGTGGTAGGTAATAATTTTGTACCATTTTGTTTTATTTAAATGATTTAGCTGGTATTTCAGTTCTTGAGATTCTTAGGATATTGACTTCAGCCCTAAAGCTTCCTTAGTTTAGTTTCAGTCATAAATACATTCATGCAATAGGTAAAATACTAAGGATAAATAGGTTTAATTTTTCAAATTTTGTGTAGGAGTGAATTATTGTCAAGATAGTAAGTTATTTTTAATTTACAGTTTACTTCTGGGTAAAAATGCAGTCTTTGGGGCTGGCCCCGTGGTTGAGTGGTTAGGTTCCTGCGCTCTGCTGCAGGCAGCCCAATGTTTCCTTGGTTCAGGTCCTGGGCGCGGTCATGGCACTGCTCGTCGGGCCACGCTGAGGCAGCGTCCCACATGCCACAACTAGAGGGACCCACAACTAAGAATATACAACTATGTACCGAGGGGCTTTGGGGAGACAAAGGAAAACAAGAAAATCTTAAAAAAAAAAAATGCAGTCTTTCTCTCATGTTTTAAAATTGTATTCTCATATGTTTTGTAATTGTATTGTACATCGCTAGGTTCTGAACGGTGTTGACAGTTTATTTTTAAAGAGGTTAATATATCTTTTTTAAAAAGTTTACTATTATAAAAATAATACAGGTCATCAAATGAATCCTCCATGACCGCTCTTTCTAAAGCTGTGCTGTCAGTCACTCTCTTAGCCCTCTATTCATTCCATTTTCTTCATAAAACTCATCACTCTTTCAAATGATCTGATGTTTGCTTATGCTGTCTTCCTACATTAAAGTGAAATGCCCTAAGAGCAGGGCTCTGCTTGTCGCTGTTTCTTTAGTACCTAAGCCACAGTCTTGCGCATTGCGGGTGCTTCATAAACATTTGTTGAATGCAGGATTCCAAAGACAGTGTTCTTACTCCTGCAGTCTGCTGCTTCCTGATTTGTGCTACACAGATATCTTTGAGATCGGCTTTTTCTTTTGCTTTATAGATTAATTGCATCTTTTTAAAGAATTGTTTTCTTTCACTATTATAATTCAAAAAATGACCCCAGTATGCCGAGATTTTGTCTTTTTTTCCCTAGACTGTTGTAAACCATTTAAATTGCATACTTAGACTTTTTCTTTTTCCCCTCCCCAAAGCCCCCCAAGACATAGTTGTATATTCTTAGTTGTGGGTCCTTCTAGTTGTGGCATGTGGGACGCCACCTCAGCATGGCTTGACAAGTGGTACCATGTCCACACCCAGAATTCGAACCGACAGAACACTGGGCTGCCTGCAGTGGAGCACACGAACTTAACCACTCGGCCACGGGGCCAGCCCCGCATACTTAGACTTCTTTTCTTTGTTCTCCAGTATTATCCAGGTATATCTTATTTATTCAGTATTTACTTGGCCCTCAGTATGTGCCACATTCTGTATTGAGTACAGATAGTTCAAAGATAAAAGGAACAGTCCCTGCCCTCAAATACTCTGAAGAAATTATGAGAATACAAACCCATGGCCGCCTTCTACTCACTGCTAGCCTCAGATTTAGCATCTCTCTTAAGCAAATTTCCCACACATCTTCGTGTGCCTGTTAAAATTATGGCAAATAAAAAGGTTAAATCGATGGTAGACTTAAAGACTAAGAAAGCATTTAAATTTCTTTTTTTGCGGAAGACTAGCCCTGAGTTATCGTCTGCCACCAATCCTCCTCTTTTTGCTGAGGAAGACTGGCCCTGAGCTAACGTCTGTGCTCATCTTCTTCCATTTTATATGTGGGATACTGTGCACACTCGGGATCTGAACCTGCGAAGCCCGGGCCACCAAAGCAGAACATGTGAACTTAACCTCTGTGCCACTGGGCTGGCCCAGCATTTAAAATTTTGCATGAAAATCCCTACAGTAGCTTCTGGCATTTGGCTCCCAAACTCCTTTATTATCAACTCTTAAAACATTATCACAGTTATAATTCTGACTCCTTCTTCTTCTCCTCCTTCCCTTCCTCCTCCCGCTCTGATTTATGGAGCTATATTTCGTACAATAAAAATTCACCCATTCCATGGGGGCTGGCCCCGTGGCCGAGTGGTTAAGTTCGTGTGCTCTGCTGCGGCAGCCCAGGGTTTCACCAGTTTGGATCCTGGGTGCGGACATGGCACCGCTCATCAAGCCATGCTGAGGCGGCATCCCACATGCCACAACTAGAAGGACCCACAACTAAGAATATACAACTGTGTATCAGGGGGCTTTGGGGAGGGAAAAAAAAAGTCTAAGTATGCAATTTAAACAGTTTGGGGAGAAAAAGGAAAAAAGAAGTTCACCCATTCCAAATTTTACAATTATATGGTTTTGTGTATTTATGTAATTGTGCAACTGTCACCACCATCTAACTTTAGAACATTTTAATCACCCCTAAAAGAAACCCCACACCAATTAGCAGTGACTCTCCATCCACCGCAGTCTCTAACTCCTACTTTCTGTCTGTATGGATTTACCTATTTTGGGCATTTCATATAAATGGAATCATACAATATGCAGTCTTTTGTGACTGGCTTCTTTAACTCAGCATAATGTTTTTGAGGTTCATCTATGTAGTAATATGTATCAATACTTTGTTCTTTTTATTACAGATTTATATTCCATTGTACGAGTTTACCACATTTTGTTTATCTAATCATCAGTTGATGGACATTTTAGTTATTTTGCACTTTTTGGCTGTTATGACTAATACTACTGTGAACATCTGTGTACAAGGTTTTCTATGGACGTATGTTTTCAGTTCTCCTGAGTATATACCTAAGAGTGAAATTGCTGGGTCATATGGGACTCCATGTTTAACCTTTTGAGGAACTTCCAGACTGTTTTTCACAGAGGCTGCATCAGCTGTCTATGAGGATTCCGGTTTCTCCACATCCTCACCAACACTTGTTATTGTCTGTCTTTTTGATGATAGCCATCCTAGTGTGTGTGAAGTGGTATCTCATTGTGGTTTTGATTTGCATTTTCCTAATGATTAATGATGTTGAGCATCTTTTCATGTGCTTTTTGGCCATTTTTATGTCTTTGTTGGAGAAATGTCTATTCTAATCCTTTGATCTTTTTTTTTAATTTTAAGATTTTATTTTTCCTTTTTCTCCCAAAGCCCCCCAGTACACAGTTGTGTATTTTTACTTGTGGGTCCTTCTAGTTGTAGCATGTGGGATGCTGCCTCAGCACGGCCTGATGAGCAGTGCCGTGTCCGTGCCCAGGATTCAAACTGGCAAAACCCTTGGCCGCCGAATCGGAGCACGTGAACTTAACCACTAGGCCACGGGGCCGGCCCCTGATCATTTTTCAAATTGAGTTATTTATCTTTTTATTTTTAACCTGTAGTTGTCCCCCATATATTCTGGATACAAGTCTCTTGTACGATGTAATGATTTGCAAGTATATACTTTCCCTTTGTGTGGGCTGCCTCTTCACTTTCTTGATGGTGTCCTTTGAAGCACAAAAGCTTTGAATTTTAAGAAAATCCAACTGGTCATTCTTCTCTTTTATCATTTGTGCTTTTGGTGTTGTAGCTAAGAAATCATTGCCTAACCTGAGGTCACCAAGAGGTACTCCTATGTTTTCTTCTAATAGTTTTATGGTTTTAGCTCTTACATTTAAGTCTATGAATGATTTTGAGTTAATTTTTGTGCATAGTGTGAGATCTTAGGCGTTTTTTAATCAGAAAAAATTTTTTCAGTTGTTGTATTTCCTTCAGTTTTTTCTTTCTTTCTTGTTCCTTGTTTATACTTGTGATGCTTAGATTGAATATTCAATCTAAATCCTTTGCTCTCTTGTGATTTTCATCTCTATTCTTTTTCTCAGCATTTTCAGAAAATATCTCAAAGCATATGCCAGATATGTTTCATCTTGTCATTTCATATCAGCACTTTTTGTTCTGCTTTTTTTAAAACTAGGTATTATGTATTTGACCCACAGTATACTAGCTTCTCTATATATTTAAAGAAGACATACACTAGAAATTTTGACGTGTTTGTAAATGGAATTGACACTTTTTCATTGAGTATGTCTGAGAAGCACATTGAATTTATCAGTGGTGTTTCTCTCCTTAAAGAGGAATTATTTCCCTAATTCGATTTTGAGCTGAAAGTGAATCACAGAGCTCAAGTCGTCTCCTGCTGAAGACTCTCCACTGGGCTGAAATCCCCCTGCAGCTCCTGTAACGGTCACAATAACAACCCGTTTCCGCACGCCATTCTATGGCTTGTAAACCACTTCCGGGTACATCTTCATCCTTTGGCCATAGGATGGCAGTATGTAGTCCCCAAAACACCTGTTGCCTGAAAATGAATTGTTTTATTTCACCTTCTTTTTGAAATGTTGTTTTGGTTGTGTAAATATATTTTACCAGCTCAAGTGTGTTCTCATTTTGATCCTTTGTTTTAAAGCGCTATTTTAACGATCACACAGATTTTATTTTTAAAGTAATT